TGTTGGCGGCGAATTTAGTCATCAGTGCCATCATCCTAAAGAAGAAATTAAATTCTTGGATACGAGATAATGTCGATATAATGTTGCCTCTCTCTGTCTTTTCTATAAACTTTCATGGCAATTGTTCGGATGATCTCTTCGCTATGGTACCGAGACTTTTTTAATTTATGCGCAGCACTAGACTGGCGTCGAGATCTCATCAATTTACAGACGTTGAGGTGACTAGATGTAGCTGTAAATTCTATGCTAACAGTTTCTCCATTCGCACTTCTTACTTGTGGAACGCCCTTCCGGATCCATGCTTTCCAGCCAACTTTAATCTGCAAAAAATGTCAATCGCCATCTAGTGTCCTCCTGATTACCCTCTTCTCTTTTTGCTCATCATTATTATTTCTGTTCCTAATTCTTCGACACCGTGTAACCCCTTGTATTTTAGTGGCAATACTGCCTTGCTTGGGTTGATACCGATTATATATATATACTAGCAGCATGGCCCGGCGTTGCCCGTGCTTGATTCAAAAATCGTAAGACTCATACAGCAATCACTTGACTTAAAATATTTTTGCCCTTCCTTGCCTTTAAAGGAGTGCCCTTTGCCGTGCTGATGTTTCTACATGTCTTACTTCTTGCCTATCTCACACTGCGAATTTTTTCTAAGCTCTATACTAAACATTAAATCTGTTACGAAAAAAGAACTAAACAAAATGAACACAAAACGATCAGCTTTAAAAAAAAGGACTCGTAACTGGAAAACCGAATGAAAAAAGAATGTTAACAACAAATACTTTTTCACACCCAACCCAGTTCTGCGGAATCAGAATCAACGTTATTCGTGGCAGCCAGGTATAGGCTCTCACTCTGGTCAGTACAAAATGGCCGCAAACGACATGAAAACTGACGTAGAAGCATGAAAAAATCAATTATTTCCACTATCGATGGGAGTTGGGAAATGCAAAGTCAGTCTTGGCCTTCCCAATAACTTGCGGCCTGCATTCGTTACACACACACACACACACACACACACACACACACACACACACACACACCACACACACACACACACACTTCCTGCTTTATATATATATATATATATATATATATATATATATATATATATATATATATATGATTGATTGATTGATTGATTGATTCGTTTTCTACGGTTTATCAATCCGTTGTAGGTTATTTAAAGCCAGAAAATATTTTTAGATTCTAAAATCATTTTTTTAGATAATAATGGGTTTAGTGATACAATCTTACTAACTAACCTATGGCTGGGGGTAGAAGATGTGGATTCACACATTTCCCAAGGTATATAACGAACCCAAAGGGAATTAAAACTTGGCTCTTCGATTAACAATTTCGAGCCATTATTTATTATACCACAACGCAACTGGCGATGCAACTAGTTTAAGTGAAAGCAAACTATAGTAAAAACTTTGAAAGGGCAACGGGAAACAACTGCAGTATTTTTCCGAAGAATATATTGCAGTTCACAGATAACGAGTAAGAATCTATGGGGAGTAATGTCTGCCAACGTCCAATAGGGACATGTTCTATTGATGCCAAATAACTGGTAATACGAGATATAAATATTCATTACTCATTGGAGTAACTATTTTATTCCCTCTGAGATTTCACCAGTTAAGCCAGTCTGTGATACGTGGACCTTACATTCTTTGACTGTGATGTGTGAAAGACCACCTAACTCCTTCTCTCGGGCGGTTATTTATATATCCATCTGTCAAACTTTTTTTCTACGCGCACGTACATATTAGATACCGTCGAGTCTATCAAGGTCATCATTAACAATGAGCGATTCGCGGTTCTGCAAACCCGGCTGGGGTCATCTCTGTTTAACTCTTCACCTTTTTTTTACGGTCTGGTGTGAAATTGTGGCCAATCGCACAATTTCATTTTAAGAAAAAAAGGAGACTAGAAATGTTTTATGTAATATGATGTATCTTAAAGTGAACTGTCCAAATTTAAGCAAAACTGATATTGCTATGTCTACGTATTTTCGTATATCAACTATGCGCTGGGATTTAAGAAGTCATAATGTAGAACTGCAAATTGTTATCAAATGGAAAGAATTCATATGAAATGAGGCGTGCGAATAAAGAAATATTTTCAGTGTGAAAATCTGTTAGAAAGGAGGATTAAATGTAATCCTGACGTCATCATAACCACAAAATACATGCTTAATTCTAAATTAAAATATTCAACTGTTCCACGATATTATCAACGTTAAGTTTTCCGTGTATTCTTTAAACGCGCGTGCACACACACACACACACACGCACACACACATTTGACCGCTTGGAAATACCAGGTGCTGGATGTGCGGGTGGTGTAAATGATAACGGCTGGAAATTGGAAATCGCTGAGCCGAGTTCCAATTCCAATCGGGTTCGTTATATTCACTTACGCGCCAATACCCTTGGGTAATGGCAGAAATGTACCTCTTCTCCCCAACCCCAGCTATGGGTTAATTAGTATTACTAAATCATTATTATTCCCCATCACCACAAAGTTCTTACTGTCTAAAAATTTTCTGGCTCTAAACAACTTACAAAAGGTTGATAAACCGTAAAAAACAATCAATCACCGCTACCCCACTGATACATCGGTATGGTGATAGTCAAAGTTACTGGTACGGTTCAATAAAACGTAGTTTTTGTGGGTATAGTTAAATTTTAACGTGATAAATATAAAGAAAAACAAAACAATATTTTGATAAATTTGTTCCTAATGCACTGAATCCAACAAAAAGTTTTGAAAATGAATAAACAGCAAAAATTAAGTGCACAAGAACAAATGTTCTTTGATGCAAAGTTCTAATCCGTCAATGAAGTGGTAGCAATTTAATGAATATAAGCGTCTAAACATTATCATAGCAGCCTGCTGAATTTCATTTCATGCATTAGTATGAGAAAGGACATTTAAGTGACTTTGAACGTAACATGCTCGCTAGTGTCAGAAAGGCGGTGGTTCTGGGTATTTCAAAAACTGCTTATCTACAAATATTTTTTACGGACAGCTATCTCTAGAGTTTTAAAGTGTATGGTCAGAAAGAGAAAAATTCCGGTGAGTGGCAATACTGTGGGCGGAAATTCTTTGTTGAAAATTTTGGAATAGTCAGACTGGTTCTGGATGATAAAAACGCAACAGTAGCTCGAATAACCATTCTTTAAAACGGATGTCTTCAGAATGGCATATAGGAAGGCGAAACACGTCGAATCTTGTGGCAGAAGACCACGTCGGGTAACACTCCTATCATATGAATCTCAGATGACAATTTGTCAAACATGGCAAAAATATGGACAATAGAAAATTGGAAAAAAACTTTGCCTGGTCTGATAAGTGTCAATTTCTGCTGCTATATATGAATGTTAAGACCTGAATTTTGTTGTGTAAACAACACGAAATTATAGATCACCCTGTCTTGTATCAATGGTTCAGTTTGTTGGTATAATGGCATGGGGGATATTTTCTAAGCATACATTGGGTTTTTGATATTAATAATAGACTGTCTGAAAGCTGCGGCCTACCTGGCTGACCACGTGTCTCACATTGTGACTACCGTATGCCCGTTTTCTGGGGGTCACTTCCAGCAGGACAACACATCGTGTCAAAAATCAAAAATAGAGGCAGATTGCAGCTGTTCTCGAAACAATTCTTCTCGCCAGAATCCAAAGAAAAGTCTGTAATATTAACGGTCCTGACCTGGCATCTCGTCTTCGGTCAAATTCCCACCGCCATCTTCCCTTTGTCTTTTCTATAAATATTTTCTTGACTCTAGTTCTGAAAAGTTTTCCTTTTTGGTACATCGAACACATAAAGTTAAGCTTACTACTAGATTGGATACTAGGTCTTGTTTTACTGTTTAATTGACTAGACATAATCGTAAGTTCTATTCCAAGAGTTTATTTTCTCACACTTCTCGCCTGTGTAACTCTCTTCCGGTTTCTTGGTTCCCTGTCAATTTATAGTCTTTAAAAATGTAAATGCAACGTCAATCGACCTCTTCTGTATTCATGAATGTCTGTTCTTTTATTGTCCTTTCTCTTCACTCGTCTTCTAATTTTATTTCACTCTCAGTAAATACTTGCGTCCTAGTGGTATTATCGCCTTGCTTGGGGTGAAATGATTGAGATAGAAACTGCCACATTAGTTCATGGAACACAGCAATAAGGGTTTTTTTTTAATGTCAAAATGATATTCACAGACAACAGATCACAATCTCATAGAGCACCTTTAGGACGTGGTGGAAACAAGCTCGAATCGTGGATATGCAGTCAATCAATCTAGAAGGATTGATTAATGCTATAATAACAGCATGGACCCAAATCTCAATCTTTTAGACCACCTTTGGGACGTGGTGGAAAGGGAGATTCGAATCCTGGATGTGCAGGCAATCAAGCATGAAGAATTAATTAATGCTCTAATAACAGCATGGACCCAATTCTCAATATTATAGAGTACCTTTGGGACGTGGTGGAAAGGGAGATTCGAATCCTGCATGTACAGTCACTCAATCTAGAAAAATTGATAAATGCTATAATAACAGCATGGACCCAAATCTCAATTTTCCAGAGCACCTTTGGGACGTGGTGGAAAGGGGAATTCGAAATCCGGATGTGCAGACAATCAATCTAGAAGAATTGCCAAATGCCATAATAAGAGCATGGATCCAGATTTCGAAAGTGTGCTTCCAGGACTTCTTCGAATCCATGCTAAGAATTGAGGCGGCTCCAAAGACAAAAAGATGTCCATCTTGGGACTGGAAGAAAATAGCTAATTATAAGCGCTGAATGTATCTCGACTTGTTATTATTACATCTCTAAGTGTCCCCTGTCTTAATGAATGAATGTGCAATGTCGAGTAACACTTGTACCTGCACGTCCCAATGCTTTTACGAGTGCGTGGGCTGCAGATAAGTTTCTGTTGAAATTAGCATGTATTCAAATCATAGATACACTCCCATTTTATTTCACCAGCTCCTACCCTCTTCACGTCTCGTTTGGTGGGTGGGTACCTTACCGCTGTTGATTTGACCACTGGTTCATCTTTCTTTCTTTCTTTCTTTCTTTCTTTCTTTCTTTCTTTCTTTCTTTGTATACATTCTTTCTTTCCCTGTATACTTTCTTTCTTTCTTTCTTTCTTCGTATTCTTTCTTTCTTTCTTTCTTTCTTTCTTTCTTTCTTTCTTTCTTTCTTTACAATTTTTTCTTTCTCATCTTTTCTCTCTATCCCCTCAGCTCAAATCCATTTAAGGATCTTTGCTCTTTTTTTTTGTTTGTTTGTTTACTTTTTTCCGTTTGACTTCTTTACTTTTTCTTCCTTATTTTTCTTTCTTTCTTTCTTTCTTTCTTTCTTTCTTTCTTTCTTTCTTTCTTTCCATTTCATTTATCCATTTTTCTTCCTTATGTTTTCTATCTTTTTTCTTTCTTTTTTTTCCATTTGATTTATCTACATTTCTTCCTTATGTTTTCTTTCTTTCTTTCTTTTTTCTTTCTTTCTTTCCAGTTGATTTATTTACTTTTCTTCCTCATTTTTCTTCTTTCTTTTCATCTAATTTCTTTCGTCCTTTCTTTTCTCTTCTGTTACCAGCTCTTTTCAATCTCTGACCTTTCACCTTAAATTCAGCAGTTGCCTTTTCGTTTTTCTCTTCACTCTCTCTTTCTTTTCGTTCTTATCTCGCCCTTCCTTCTCCTCCCCTTCTATATTCTCTTTCACCTTTTTTTTTCTGACAATTAGTCTATTGCCTCAACCCAACAGGTTCACCTGATGATTTCCCGACGTCTTCCTTGAATATTTCTGAGTAATCTGTTTCGTTTATCGTTGCAACACGGATTGTTAACTCGGGACGACTTTTGGACAGGCTGGCTATGCGTTTTGTGCGCGTCCTTACAGCTAGCCGAGGAACGATCCTTTTTACTCCTTTGCGGCGTCGTTTACCTTTTAATCACCACCATTAACATTAACCACGGACCATACCGACTGAAGAAAACAAACAAAAAAAGGCTAGTTATTTATTATTTATTATATTCATTTCTGTGTATTATACGCCATTTAAAGCAAGTCGAATTATAGATGAAATTGAAGCGCTTTCTGTTTTAAAAAAATATATATACCAAGCATTTCTTCACAAATTAGAAAGTCGCGTGGAAGTGGGGGCTATATCAATAGTTAAAAATAGGGCTACTAAGTCATACAGAGATTTATTAAGCCTAGCTTAAATGTGGCGCAAGACCAAAAACCTGAAGCACTTAGTGAGAGCCAAACTCTTTACTCAGTCGTTATTGATATTGCGTGAACAAGATTCCTAACCATTGTACCGTAACAACTTTTTTAGATCAATTATCGCACTGTAAATATTTTTTAAAAAGTCAAATACATTTTTTTCTGTTCCTTTTTACTTATTTTCTGAAATTAAACGTATAGACATTTTTCCACCTATAAGAAAAGTTATATAAAAGTTTTAGATGCTAATGTTTTTGTTTTTTTTAATTTATATGATTTATTATGAAAAATGTGGTTGATGATCTGTCAGCCCTTTAATTAAAGACAGGAAGTTGTGGAGAGCCATCATAGAAGAAGAAGAATGTCTTTAGACAAATGATACAGCTCAGATCGAAATCATTTCAAAGATTCAGACCAAAAAAAGACAAAATTATTATTCTGTTTAATTTTCAGGCTCAGCAAAAATTGATGGGGATGAAGTTACTCCAGACTTGTCTATAACGCTCTGGATATATACTTGATAATTTTCATTTTAATATAACCCTATTTTCGTTTTTCAAACAACATATTGAAAGAAAAAAAAAACAGTTTGTTACTTTTTATCAGTAACATTGACATTACGATCTTAAAATCCTAGCTAAAATCAAATTTGAGGAACGTTAAAATTTTAACTAGCTGCTTATGTATACCGCGAGTATAATTTCTAAAAGAAATATGTCAAGACTTTTACTCGTGTGTTGGCATTATATAGTCACTTAGCAAATACTACAAGAATATATATAATGCATCACAAATTATCTTACTATAAGAATTCATTGGAAATTATTTTAGTATAATAATTCATTTTCAATGATATTTTTATACGGTCAGTTTAAATAAAATTTTCACGAATACGGTTCTTAAAAACATTTTTTCACTAATGACCCAACAAATACTAACCCCCCACCACACACGCACGCGCGCGCACACACACACACACACACACACACACACACACACACACACACACACACACACATATATATATATATATAATATATATATATATAACGTCACACATTATGAAATGGACAAAGTCCGACAATTATTTTAAGATATTTTTATGTTTATACATTCTTTTTATAGATAGGCCGGTAAATGTTATTTAATACTGTTTATTATAAACAAAGCATTTACTTAAATATTAGTATAAAGAATACCCGCTCGGCCCGGTGGCTAGGATCAAAGTGTAGTATCTGCGCTTTGTGAGCTGCCGGGTCGGGTGTCTGTCGAACTCTCTGCTTGCAGAGAGGAACCCAGACGAACTCCGCCAAAGGGTGGAGTTTCGTTGGGAGGTTGACGGAACTAGCCTGCTTGGACGGGTTTAGATGGGTTTTATTTTGGCTGGGCCTACGGGCTCAGGACATACCCACATTAAAAGGCCTTGTGCCACATTCAATTCCTGTGGGTGAATTGATAAATACCATCTCTAAAAAGAATACCCGCTCGGCCCGGTGGCTAGGATCAAAGTGTAGTATCTGCGCTTTGTGAGCTGCCGAGCCGGGTGTCTGTCGAACTCTCTGCTTGCAGAGAGGAACCCTGACAAGCTCCGCCGAAGAGTAGGGTTTCGTTGGGGAGGGTTGACGGAACTAGCCCGCTTGGACGGGTTTAGATGGGTTTTATTTTGGCTGGGCCTACGGGCTCGGACATACCCACATTAAAAGGCCTTGTGCCACATTCAATTCCTGTGGGTGAATTGATAAATACCATCTATAAAAAAGAATGTATAAACATAAAAATGACATATATATATATATATATATAATATATATATATATATATATATATATATATATATATATATATATATATATAATTCTATATAAATTATCTTCGTATAAAAATATTACAGCTGATTTTCAATACGATCTATTGAAACGACACCACATTGGTCATCAAGAGGAGAGTCTATTAAACAAATACTTCAAAACGTTCATTTACCAATGATATCATACAAAGAGATGGTACATTCTGACAGTCGAAAAAGAGAAAAATTAACAAACAATAATCCTGGTTGTCATTTAACCTTTTTCTGTTGTTACCTGTTTATCTTCCATTTCTTTTCTCTGTGCAGATTTGGGTAAAATGGCGTAGGAAATGAAGAAGAGCCAATTTTTCTTTCAATTTTTAAAATGTTTCAAGAAAGATCAACCGAATATGTAGGGTTGCCAATTTAGAAAATTAGAAATTCGGGACGGTTTTAAAATCTCTCTTTCTCTCTATATAAACTTATACATGCTTACACACCCAGGTCAATATATATTATAAAAAGAGAGGCATACGTTAAAAACATAAAACAATGATTTTAATGGGTTGTGAGGAAAATAAAAGTCAAAATCATTTGAAAATTATTTGATACAAATTAGGAAAAAGAATTTCTTTAAAAGTGAAATCATTTGAAAATATTTATTTAGTCCAGACAGAAAAATAAACAAGTCAGTTTTGTGTAAACTTCTAGAGACACTAGTTTCATCGTTACATTTGGGTCATTTTATCAAGAGAATCTAAGATAGAAAAGTCTAATTACTTATAAAGTAATTATATATTATATAATTACTTGTATATTTTTATTACGAAATTCGAAAATGATAAATTATATAATTACCTACATATTTTTGTTACGAAATTTGAAAAAAGAACTAAACACGACACATTTGGGGTGTCCCTGGAAAGGTCAGTACGGACCAGGGGACAAAATTATCCAATACGGGACATGTCCGTTATAAAAGGGACACGTCGTGCCGCACACACACACACACACACACACACACACACACACACACACACACACACACACACACACGCACACAGGTCAACGTTATGCACACTGAGAAAAATGTTACAATCCTTATTAACGTTAAGAGTCATATTAGCCGTTTCCTTATAAGGAAACATTTGGCATTCATTGACCGAGCAGCCAGTACTGCTGACGGCTGAAATTCATAACATCTTTCTCTAAAATAATTTTTCAAGAAAATAGATTTCTCAAGTCCAGTAGCTGTTATCAATCTTTCCAGTATTGATGTTGATTCCTTCCTAACCTTTTGTTTGGGTTAGTATGGAACATAACAACATCCTGATTATATTCTCTTCGATTTATCTGTGTTATCCATTTTCGTTGTTGATGTCGAAAGTCCTCAAGTGATGTGGTTTCTTTTACCCAGTACAGTGATTCTGTAGCACCAATCCACAAAATTCGAAGAAGGATGATCCACAGGCTTCACTCACTCAAAGCCATTTTTAACCATTGATCTTAGAAATCGGTTGTGTACAGCTGATAGTTTAGACATTTTTGAACGAGTTTGGTGCCATGTATGACTCCCATAGGAAAGTCTCAATCTGATGAAGTTATCTAACAGCATCATCTGAGTTCACTATTTACATTATTCGGACTATTGTCCTCATCTTTGTCGCCATATAAGGGACGTCTGCAACCCTAGTCATAGGCACTCAACGGCCCACGGGTTTGAATGTGCCATAATTTCATGAGGAAAATAGCGTTTATTAAAAATTTGTTTGTTTCATTTCATCTTGACGTGTTTGCAAAGACACTCTCAAACATAACCACATACGATAATTCTGGAAAAGATTTATTTATCCGACATTATTTCATATTATAATAAACGTTGTTTTTAGTGGGTACACGTATTTGAATTATTGTCTCTTTTTTATTTTTTTTTATTTTATTAAAGAGTGAATTGAATAACAACCGGCCTAAAGAAAAATTGTGGCTCTGACAAGAATCGAATCTGCATTCCTTTTTTTCCACCGAGTCAAACCAATTTGCCCTGTGAGGCTGATTTCCGTACCCGAATAGGTAGTGGCAGACTATGGTTTCCCTGATGGAAAAAAAGGGATGTAGATTCGATTCCTTTCGGGGGCACAGTTGAACTTCTCAATTTAGAGAAGTGACTCGAATTTTCTATAGCCTTAGGGTCTCAACCGGTGAAAGCCTTACCATAACGATCACCTATGCTCTGAAAGTACAAGA